ATATATATATATATATATATATATATATATATATATATTTAAAAAATATTTTTGCATTATGGTTTACAGTTAGAATAATTAAATTTTTTACTCGATAGTTTAAAAAAAATTAATTATTGCGTGTCACTGTGAAAATGTCTGCATAAAATTAATATAAATAAAAGTAATTTAAGATAAACATATTATTTGTTAATAAGAATACTTAAATTAAACCATCAATTGCTAAACCATCAGACGACACTAATATATCTTTACTTTATTTTAAGGTACTGATTAAGTTTTATTTTGGTCATCCTATAACTTTTGTATCACAGTAAATTTATGAAAAGCTTGCGCTGAACTTTGCTCTAAAATCTAAAATAACGTTTGACGAGAAAGGAACTGAACAGATTAAAGATTTCACACCTCAGCGAGCCCTTTCGGGTGGCTTGCCAAGATAGAGACGCCTCCCCTGCGTTACCCGCCTTAGTCTTCCGCGATCGGCCGGATTTGTGGCGGCGGGATGCAAATGTATGTAAAGTACGTACCCCCGCGCCAAAACCCTTCGAGGGCGATTGTACTCTTGGCGGGCTATTAGACACCTTCCCGGCAACTCGTGCTCCTCGTTCTAATAACCGGTCGACCTCCTCCTCACGCCGCAAACCGCCCCTAGCCACCGTGCAGCGGAGTCCCGTATAAGCGTATAGTTTAAACTCACCGCAACCCCTCGTTAAGATTCTTCTTTATCGGCCCGACCTATCGTCGACCACATCGTCGAGACGTGGAACTAAAGAAAAAAGCAAAAGAAAAAGCGATGCCGGCTATTTTGCTCCACCTAGTTTTATCGGATGACACATCGCATTTTTCGGTAGTTTACATCGCTCAAACAGGAAGGAACAGAAAAATTGACGTGAGATCATTATGTCATGGACGACTTATAAAAAGTCTAATGTAAAATACGTTGATTAATTGATCCTTCTGTCTCTTTTGTTTTGTAAAATTATTCTTTCACGTGTAGTTTTAAAATATATTTTATAATTATTGGGATGCAATAATAATATATCGGTTTTCAAGTAATAGATAATCGTTTAGTTCTGTATCGATTAAACATAAATTGGATATAAATCAGTGTAAAACTGTGTTTCGAGATAAAGATACACAAAAAGGACAGAATGGAGGAGCTAGTTATTTGTTTCTCGTAACATTATCGAGCCATTGATTGTGGTTTTCTCTAATTTGCATTTAAAATTATACTTGCATGAATTCGTTACAGTCGGCATTGTACAGAAATTCTCATTCCTGCGTTATTTGTTGAAGCGATATTGCTTCTTCGATGATGTTTGTGCATGTGAAAAGTTTGTTGTAATTATATAAAACTGTTTTAAATGAATTACTATGAGCAAAGTAAAAGTCGTAAACTAGCACTTGTATTAAATTTATAAGTACTCTGAAACAGTAATAACCATAATTCTCTATGCTAGTAAGCTCGCACAAGCATGCAATTTGTAGTAAATATTGCTTCGTTTACGTACTTTTGCGTAATTAGCTTCAGCTAATCAAACTTGTTGAGAAGGCTCAATTTCTCCGAGCGTGTTTTTTTTTTCAAATACAAAAAATAGAAGAATACTAAAATATGGAAATAGTAAATATATATATGTATATATTCGCGCGATACGCTGCTCAAAATATTGACTGGATTATTCTTGCAGAAATATTCGTTTTATTATACAGTTTACTTTTCATTCTGCGCAAATTCGATTATTGAATGCATATTGACAAACGGTGTAGATTTCTGTTCTAGCACAGTGTGTGTGATATCTTGTTTCGATAATAATTATTAGTTCATCTTCAAACTTGCAGCAACTCGCCGACCTTAATATGTCGTGCACCGTTACCTTTGCTTGCTCGACGTATGTAGGGTGCATACATATATAAACGTAAAACTCAAGCTTATCGCGACCAACCCTCGTTAAATTTCTTGTTTATCGTAGTAAAATTACTGGCTTGGTCAACTTGCCTCGGTGTGATATTACATGTTCCCACTTACGTGAC